CGTACTTATCACAGGGACCTCGTTCCTTGGGCATTGAACAGACGTCGCTTGGATTAGACGTTTGCAAACCAACTGAAACTTATTTCAACATAGCATAGGACAAACACCTAGCAAAAGTGTCAAGCAACACACTGATTTTGTTATTTTCTGGACAGCAGACGCTAGACTGTTGCACGACGCTGCATTTATATCCAGAGGGGCAGTCTGACTTGGCACAATTCACAGTGACGCCCAATTTGGTCTTAAGCGGCTCGCCCTAGAACATTTCACTTGTTTCAGAAGTGGGGCTTACAAATATGGGAATATCGAAAAGCGCTGCATTGTAGCGTACCTTTTCACACTTTGGAAGTCCCATAGGTGGAGGAGCGCAACGCTGACTGCATGCGTCCTCCGTTTCGTAATTGTTTCCGTTTCCACCGCAGCCAGAGTAGACAAATCTCTAAAGAAAGATTTATAACCTTTCTCAAGAGGTTGTTTTTATGGCGAATAATGCTCTCCAACTGACCCTACACTTCGCTTCACGCTCATCATAGTACCATCGAGTTACGGTAGCTGAGCATGGTCCTCGCATTGCAGTTCCAACACACTCTTTAGTTCTAGGTGTAGTGACGGTTAGTATGCCTGAAAATTTAATATAGAAGCTTTTACGGGCTTATGAAATAGCAACTTACTGTCGCAGTCCGGCTTTTGGCCATTGCGAGTTCGGCTATTCGGAATTTCTATTCCTCGCGCGTCTACGCAGAAGCATTGACGACCATCGGGTTCACACTAAAAAGAATTCGTGGTAAATTCGAAGATGCCATCATCTTACTTTAGAACGTTTATAAGAGCCACCTGAATTTTTTCGAATGCACCTTGAGCGGTACATAAAGGCATGAAGGCTCCTCTGATTGAGGACGAAGAGGCAGTTGCGCGACGACGCTCGCATTCTGAGACAAGAACATTTATAAGCATAGTCAAGTCAATACGTTTTTTTTGCTTTGAAAGGCTTTTTCGTCTTATTTGATTCACTTTATCCTAAGTACCAAACATCAAACTACATCCGCAAATTCACATTTGAGCAATATTTTTAGAATGAGAACGTGCAGGCGCCCTTTAACTGTACACGCTTATAATTATCTCTTTAATATGGGTTACTCCTAGACCTATGATTACTAAGAGTCCTCTTTCTGTCTTTATCATAATTTGACCCAAAAGTCCTTTTCTCTAAAAACGAAAGAATGAGTGGTCAAAGTGGTGATTTAAAATTAATAATGCATACTCAAATGTAACTTAATGTAACGCTGATTCCAAATCCGCCTTTCATATGTGCGAAAAAT